CAACAAACCAAACAAAGCAAACGCCTCAGGACATAAAGCCGCCTGTGAACAAACACAAGAACCGACACAGGTGGCACATCTCTAGAGTTAAAGGGCCGTAATTTGATGATAAATGTTTTTATATTGATAATATACTGCATATCAATTAGATTGACTTCTCAGGTATTTTTTTAATATTTGCGTAATAGCATGTGTAGCATGTTTTTAGCTAGCTGCATAAAAATGTACCTTATTATGTGAGTTAGCAGGGTACAAGAGCCTTATTCACGATATCAGGGAATCATAAATGGATCAATCTAAACATGTAGATCTGAAAATATGCATCAGTATCTTTGTGTGCCTTTAGCATTAAAAATACGGCCTTGCAAAGGCCATTACATGTTTTTACAGAGAAGCAACTGAACTGTAAATGAATAAAATACTGTATGTAGTACTTGGTTGCTATAAAAAGGGATTTCTAACCCAGGCCAGTGTGTGAGCAGCCCTCACTCAGATACAGAAAACATGAAAGTAAAAACGCTGATGTACTGTGTATATGTCTGCAAAGTATCTTTATTTTACTGAGCCTCAAAAAAACAATGTCCCTGCTAAAAAGTCTGCAATTACCAATATCCTCATCTTCCTTAAAGGTGAAAGTAACCTCTGGTATAGAAAGTTCACTGTTGTGAAGATGGAAAATACATGTTGTTGTTCATAAAAGGTAATAGATTTACTCTCAGGCTCAGGAGTTGTCTAAGTCCCAGGACTTCTTCCATAATGTGACAAGGATGAGATGATTACAGAGAAAGCTGTTATCTAATATACCAGCTTGTAAATAAAAGGAAAATGATCCACTGCAACATTTGTTAAGAAAAGGACGGAGGAGTGCTACTTTGGCACATCTTCATTTCAGTGCAATTTTAATGCGGCTGGTAAGCCTACTTTCCTCTCCATAGTCACTTACATTTTAAGCAAAGCACTGCTATTGGTGGCTTAAGTCATCTTTACTAAAGCCTTGCCCCGTTTTTCTCAATGTGAGACAGCTGTAGACCAGAATGATCATTATTTACAAGTAGGGATGATCAATCTGTTCCTTCCTCCTGGAGAAAGCTCATTACCATAGCAGTACAGGGCCAAAATATCTAAAAATATGTCTGCAGAACCATGCGGCACATCGGCTTTTAAAGGCATAATTCCAAACCAGACAAAAATGTTTGTATTTGTTTGCTATAAATACAGGAATGTGCAAATGCTCAGATGTTTCTTGTATGACTGTCTTGTTACTACCTCTGTCCTACTCCATTGACTGCAGATGAAAATTAACATGTATGGCTAAATCTGGAAAATTTAGATGACAAATTTAAGCACTCATGTTAATTAATATGCTTTGTCCCTTCTAAATATACACAAACCTAAGTCCAGGAAACACCATTACCTGATGATCCTTTGATGCCATCTTCTGGAGGGAAAATGAAATGCGTCATATCTCCTGAACACTGCATATGCAAAGACGCCACATTGTTTGGCTGCTGATGTAAACTTGAGTTTAACAATCTTCTCAAAAATTCTGAGCATTAATTCTCTATTTAATCATTTACATTAAGTAGAAATCAAATCAAAGAAATTCAGAATCTGGATGAATGTGATTTTAAACAATGCTTTGTCCTATTAAACCTACTTCAACAGCACATAACAACCATGAGAAGGTGTGAAAAGGACAGTTTATTTCACCATCTTGTACAAAAATGCAACTGTGACAGGTTCAAGGCTTTCAAGGTTCATAGTTTTCTATAGAAAAACGTACATCTGTAATATCACTCAGGCACCCATGTAAGTGGTTCACACAGTGCAAGTCCTAATTAGAAATTGGTGATTTTGTCCCATCAATGTTTGGCAGCTTCCTCTCCCTTCTTCCTTCTCTAGGTTCATTTCTCCTACTCCTCAGAACATGTTGGCTTTATCAACATGGCAAAATCATTAATGATGCTGTGCCTGCACGACATGTTCAGGTGGCAGAGTGTTGAATTTAAGCTGCTAAAGACCTTCTGTTCCAACAGCTTCATAGGAGGTTAAGAGAAAGTGGGAAAGGACGTTACAAAACAAAGACAAAACCAGTGTGTCAGTGTAGTTTGGTCTAATTTCTTGAGCAAGGTCAGTGCTTTCAGTCCTTAATGGTTGTCGATGAAGGGTTGGCTGTATCCACAATTAAACAGAACTGCATGTAAGTTTTCCACATAATTAATATCCTCTTCATTTGAATTTGCTTATTGTAAGTCTAGCCCATGAGATATCCCCTGAAAAGACAAATTAGCACAAATTAGACAACAGCTACAAAGAAGTACAATCAACGACTCAGTCTCCCCTTTAGACAGCTTTGTAAGCTCAGATTGGATATCAAGTATTTGACACGTGGGTCTGGATTCGATAGATTCGAGCTTCGACTTACGGCAGCTTCATGCGCATGAACACTCGGGCCATGAAGAAGCTGAGGAGCACGCTGACAAATCCAATGAAAAGCAGCAGGAAGCGGTTGAGTTTGGGAATGTTGGGTGCATTGGAGCGGTCCAGGATTATAAAGCCCAGGCCTCCCATTGTGAACAGGAAGCTGGATGCTAGTCCTTCCATAATGTACTGACCGTTTACTCTGGAAAACACATCAATAGGATTCAGCTTCAAATCTTTAGACTGTGTTTTAATTCCAAAAATCTTACACGCACCTGTAGGCCAAGAAGGCAACCGGTCTCTGGTGTCCATGCTCATCAGTCATTGAACCCACACTCGGTGGCTCTACGATGACGTCGTAGATGATACCTGTGCAGTGAATGGAGGGGAAAAAAAGGTTTAATTCATAATTAATTAAGTTTAAGGTAAAGTCTGAGCAGTGAGAGCGCTGACTGAACAGAGAGGTGATAATCACCATAAGATCAGTGATCAACAACAACTACAGGAAGATAAAGACAAAGTAAACTACAGATATTCAGTTAGTTTAAGGTAGGCTAGTTTGTTAGCCCTCTATTCTCTTATATTGTTTTGTGATATATTACACGCTGGTTTACAAGCGCAACAAAACCCCGCAAATCTAACAACGCAACAAAAGCACGTAACTGAGTATTGGCATTAAATACTACACTGATAACATCAAATGCAACACAGAATTATCTGGCTAGCCTTCAGGCTTTTACGTTAGCTTAGCATTTACCTCCAGTGATGAGAAAGTAGGACACAATAACGATCGCATAGACAGTCATGGCCGACGGCATGTGCAGCCATGACGGTTTCTTCAGTTTTATGTTTGGACATTCAAGCACAGCAAAAGGTATACTGTATAAAGTCTCCATGGTGTATGAAAATATTTCCAGTCACCACAGTAGAGGACCTCTCCGCCGCTGAATGCGCAGGCGCAAACATTCGGTTGACGTGTCCCGGAAGTACATTTTTTTTCAGCCAACTAGGCGTTAATATTTTTTAAAGGGATTTTTTTTTGTCATTTACTACTAGCATTAAAAACATATTGCATTTATAGTTACATTAACCCGATTTTATTTAAGAATCAATCAATAAAATATATATATATGTTGGGTAAGGCCAATCTTTTACTGTTTCGTTTCTTAAAGAGACAGTAATCTTTTAGAGGGTTTATTTAAGTGCACAGCTTTGTTGAATGAAACCTTACCACCCAAAACGCTCCTATGTAACCAGTTTCATTCATTTTTATTGACACTTCACTGCATTTAAATATTTCATTATTTTCATTAGTTAAAGTTTTAGCTTCTTCTTCTTTTCTTTTTGTTTTATTCCAGCGCAGTTGTGGTGTGGAGCACCTACAATTTCGTTGTGCATGTACAATGACAATAAAGGGATATACTCATCTATTCTATTCTTATGTTT